AATATTGATTTACCACATATTTTTTGTATATAAAATTATTTTGTGTGCTTTTAGATGTGTGTGGGCGGTCGTTACTTCCCGACTACCCAACGGGTTTATTTCTGACGAAATCTAAGCACAGATACAGAAGGTTGCTTTGGAATTTGCTTGCCACCTTAAGCCATCTCTCTCTTAGTCCACGTGATATCCGGCTAGCTGCAAACCAAAGGACAATTATAATGCTCAGCAGTTCCCTCCGTCCTCCTTTATAGCGGGCTGTGAGTGAGACACGGCCATCGAGTATGCAGACGATATCGCCTGCCCAAGAAACACTTAATCAGGCAGCGGCCAGTGTCTGAAAGTATACCATGCAGTTTGCGTCATTTAGGTGCAACGTATTCTTGCAAGATTCGCAACAGACTGTGACTGTACCTAACCTCAGATGAACCCTTAGAAGTCATGGATAAGTTCGTACATCCGAGTAGTTGTCGTGGTGCTAACCGACGTATGACAGATGAGATCTCTACCTGTAAAGATAAAGTCAGGTGAGCACACACTAACCTGGGCTACCTCTGACACTGTTGCAACACTATTCTGGATGTCACACGTTAAGTTTATAATGCTTTAGTACCCACATTCCTGCCCCCTACGCCTGTGAAATCTGGCCTATCGGAGCTGAGGATATTTGGGGATTTTACATGAACGATCATCACTGCCTTCGTAGAATCGCTTGTCGATCCAGTGACGTGTTTGAACACAATGGAGATCGCCTTTTAATAAGTGCTGCCACCTTGGAACACCGGCTTCGGCTGCTTGTCATCCTATCATTCCTTTGAGTTCCAGAATGGAACATTGGCCTTCAAACTTTAGGTTTTGGAGTTTCAGCAGCACTTGCGTTGTTTTAACAGGGCGGTGTTACTAGCTTCACACTCGAAATTCCCGCTTCTGCACACCTAATATCAACTAGACGAGGTTTAGGAGTACGTCCGCCGGGAATCGAACCCGGCTGCTAGCGATTGTTCCACAGCTGAATATAATGCCACTTTATCTGGTATCCACCAGATATATGATCTAATCTTGGACTCTGAAAGAGAGGACCATCATGAGATTTCATCTTATTATGATATTATTATTATTCCCTTGGGTTCCGAGTGGAACATAGGTCTTCATCAACACATCTCCACTTTTTGTTCTATTTTCTGATGTCCTCTTCAGCTGGATCCATGATTGCCCATAAACTTTCATCTCCTCCTCACCACACGATTTCCTCCGTGTCACCCTCGCACAGACGACTCAGTCGTCACTTCTCATTGGGAATCTACTCGAGCGATGGCCTGCATTGTGCACGATGTTATTCGACGGCCTCCTCAACGTACACCCGCGATCTATCCATCTCCACTTGTTGAGCGATCGACTCTTTCTTCTTCTTGTTGCTAATTCTTTCTGGCCAGCCAGGTGGCTATTTGATCCTCACTGTGGAGTCACAGTGAAGGGGGCAGCTGTTGATAAAAGTCTGTAACCGGCTGTTGGAAATGATTTTCGTGATGTGTAAGAAGTGCAAGTTTCTGAGCCTCTATAGAACAACTGACCGACTTAACATGTGTGTTAAAAATCGGCATCTTGTTATCCATACTGAGGTGGAATGCAGAAGATTTCAAAACTGGTTTCAGGTTAATGAAGCTGTATCTTGCTTTCTAATCCTCACTGGCTGGCTGGCTGACTGGCTTTGACATCTTCATCGGTGGTTGAAACCACGCTTCCTGATGATCAGATAAGTGAAGAAAGTAACCTCTTTAACATTTCTCCCGTTGGTGGTGATTGGTGCTGGTTGATTATCTTCATCAACTCCGTCTTCTCAATGTGTCATCTAGAGTCCTGTCTTCGCTGTCTGCCAGCTTCTTCAGCCAGTTTGGTGGTTTTCGCTTGTAAGTCTTTGAGTTTGTGTGAAATTAGATATATATATATATCATCTGCGAAATCCATATCATCTACAGTCTTGTTATCGGTGGTCATCTTAAGGGCCCTCTACACTTATGATAACTGTCTATAGTAAATTAGATTATGAATGATGAATCAGCTGATAGACAGATAAAGAGAGAGAGAGAGAGATAATAAAAATTTAACCAATCAAGTTTTAATATCATCTGACAGATGTCACGTGACTCCATAAGCTAATATCTGTACGGTAATCATTATACATGATCACAAAGGATTCATTTGAATATGTATATATGTGCAATATTAGTAGTATAGGGGTTTTCACCCTTAGAAACCGAACAAAAATATGAAGAATAGGGTTCCGTTACATTATGTTGTCGATTCTAATCAACTGTTGTGTAGGACATGAAACTGTCGGCATTAGACGGTTGGAGGCGATCGGCAGGAGGCCCTACTGGGTGGGACCTAGGTTTCGTGCTAGCTGTCACTCAACAGTCAGTTAGCAAGGTGTATCTGCAGCCTTGAAGGAACTCATGTCCCTTTTGAAGATTTGAACCAACGTTACACAGTGAGTATTACAGTTAGAGACGTTACCATTGAGCTATTCGGGCTGAGTGGCTGGCGATTGACCTCCCGTAGGATTTGAAACTATTTTATTATTCAATCTGGTGAGCATTAGACGATTAACTTTTAATCAAGAGTTTCACTGAAAATTTTACAGATTTCAATTATAATTACGACGACATATATACTATAGTATCCTTTGAGTTCCTAGTGAAATGAAGAACCTCAACGGCATATTTCCACTTCAGTCGGTTCTCAATCATCACTTTCAGCTAGTTGTAGACAAGTACTTTTATCTCCTCCTCCTCCTCCTCGCATGATCTCCTTCATGTCACTCTCGGACACACAAATGTGTTGCCTCTTATTAGAATTCTAATTAAGAGTGTGATATTCGATGTCCTTGGAACGGTGGTCACACTGTAAACTTGACTGATAGAATTCAGTCTGCATTAAAAACAAAGGACTAGACGCTTGAAACCACTTACTGACTAGGGTCTAATCAAAGTATCCAATACAGCCATACAGGAAGTCAATCGCCAGCCACTCAGCCCGAATAGCTCAGTAGTAACGTCTCTGACCGTAGCACTCACTCACTCATCATTTTCATTCATTGCCAGCTTGAGGCAACGATAACGTATGCTGAATAATGAGGAGTGGTCTCCAAAATGTTCACGCAGCAGCTTTATTGTATCATCGAAACACTTGTCACGTGGTTTCTGGGGTAAAATTAGGTTGCAGTACCGTTCATATTCTGCGGGCCCCAATTTACGTAATAACACTCGCACCTTCCAAGCATCGTCTTGAAAGGCGAGATCAACTGTGAATAAATCCTCATAACGTTGATACCATGTGTCGAAAGTGACACTAGCCTCTGGGTCATAATTGAACTGTGAAATGCTGTTCACAATTCCGTCGACAGATGGTAGCATGGTATGATTGGGATTGCTTGAAGGTGAAGCTGGACCAGTCTGTTGGTTGACGAACATTTCCATTAATTTCATTTGTTGTTCAAATAATAATTCCAATTTAGAAGAATCCATCCCATCCCCGTCGCCAAATTAGTGTTATGTACTGGTCGAGTAATTAATAGTCCTGACGCAAGAAGGCGGAAATCAGAAGACCACTAGGTTCACGATGATACTTGTATTTTTTCAAACAAGGAAAAACAATGTCACACAAGAGTATGAGCGAATGTTCAAAAATGAACGAATCAATAGACAGTCTTAACATGACTGGTTGCAATGTCATGTGACAACAAGGTCAGACATGTTTGTTAGTTAGTGGACAGACAAAAACATATTGTCAATTATAATGGAATATCGATCCATATATACATAGCAAAATATAACAGACTGTCAAAACAAACATACATATTATGTGGATACATATCACGTTGCTTCGAATCTTCAAAAGGGACATGAGTTCCTTCAAGGCAGTTGCAGATACGCTTCGCTGACTGACTGTTGAGTGCCAACTAGCACGAAACCTAGGTCCCACCCAGTAGGGCCTCCTGCCTACCTATTGTCTCCAACCATCTAATAGCAACAATTCAAAGTGCACCGTGATAGCTTATCACCTAGAATAGTAGTGGCCAAATTGCACCCTTGACCAATGATAGAATTCAGACTGTTGCAACAATAAGTGTGGTGAGAGCTGGCTGCTAGCGAAATTGGTAGACAGTAATTTATGTCAATGTTTACGTCCTCAATATTGGTCATGAGAAAAATATGAGCAAAGCAGCATAGTTTCACCCACAGGTGACTGCACACAGATGACAGTGTCAAAACCAATTTGTATGGGAAATTAAACGACAGACCTTCATTGTTCTGAAAATTATCTGGAGACACGTTGCCCTCAAAATAAGAAAGAAAATTTACATTCTCAAGACTAAATTCAAGTCAGTAACTCAAATACAGTCCAGAGAATTGGTAAAGGCGTCACCGAAAGCATTATTCAAAGGCATCTGCAGACTTTCATCAACAGCTACCTTCACTGTGATGAGAAAGGAGAAGCAATACGGAACCGTGTAAGGCGGCAACGAACCACTCAAGAAACTAGCATGCAACAAATATGCAGAAGAGAATGAAGGAAGACTGACTGAACATCTGCTGAGGAGACTATTCAGAGAAAATAAACAGGCGCTCAGGTGAAACACTAAAGAGAAATGATGAGTAGGGCGTTCGAGTGTGACATAGAGGAGATTATATGAGCCAGGAGATGAACGTTTGTCAGCAATCATAGAAACAATCTAAGCACATAACAGAGAGTATTGCGTGCAGCGAAGATGTACCTCTGAAGCCTTATGCATTGCACTCGGAATCACAGAAATCAATAATGATAATAATAATAATATTGATACTCATTATGCCCACACCTTAGTCCGCTGGATCGTAACAAATACCAAGATAGTCTATGGAGCATGAAAGAGGGAGAGATGAAGGGAGAGAATAAGGAGCAAAGCAAAGCAAAGCAAAAAACGACAACAACGACAAAATGCAAAAAAATAAAAAATAACTTACTTAAATATTAATTCATACATAACATCTTCACAGTGAAAGCTTAATATTGTTCGAAATAACGATAATGTGACCATTCCAAGCTGAAAAGGATACAGAAAAAAGAAAAACAGTAAGGAGATGTAGAATTATTGGTTAATTAACCACTTGAACTTTATTCTAGAAACAAAATTTAAGGTTAGTGAATTGAATTTTTGATTTTCCCGTTGATTGATTGAACCGAAGTGCTCGGTCTCAGGTTGACATGTCGGCTTCTTGTGCAGATGCTTCGACGATGCCTGGGCATTTAGTTAGGATACAATTGGTGGATGGTGACTAGCAGTGGAATCCAGGATAAGGCGAATTTCGTCTGTCCTATTTGGGACTCGTCAGCTATCTGGATGTACCTGCATTTCTCAGTGAGTGATGATGTTCCCACCGAGGCTCGAACCCAGTGCCCATAGTTTCAAACGCCAAAGCGTTACCCCAAGTGGTCTAGTGGATAACGCTTTGGCGTTCGAAACTATGGGCACTGGATTCGAGCCTCGGTGGGAACATCATCACTCACTGAGAAATGCAGGTACATCCAGACAGCTGACGAGTCCTAAATAGGACAGACGAAATGCGCGTTAACCTGGATTCCACTGCTATCCACCATCCACCAATTGTATAAAAATTTAAGGTTAGTGAAGAAAATAACTGAAGGATTCCTGGCTCTCATCGAGAAGGTCGTCTAGCTAGGGGTTCAACCCCTCTCATATGGGAGCACTCTTGCAGAGCTGTGATTCGTTGATTCAAGTGCCCGCAACTTTCAACTTTCACGTATAGGGATTATACAAATTGTTTACTCATGGTGTTTATTCATGTGATTGATATTCATTCAACAGACACAAATATGACTACAGAAACACATCCCCACGCTCATATTGACTTATTCATAAATATAAGTCTTAGACACAATCGAAATGTGACATCACAGGACAAAAGATGAAGATGGGCAATGCGGAATCTGAAGAATTTTTCTAAACAATTCTGATTTATAAATAATCTGAATAACAACTAAAGAAGAGTGAAAATTTAATGTATACAATACTAAAGAGGTGAGGAATTATCGAGTGAAACGAAGACCTACAGTTTATAAGGAACATAATTGTGTTTAACAGAAAAGTTGTTATATATATATATATATATATATATATATATATATATAACAAGGATTCCAAGTATTTCACCCAAGAGGCTCAGGTTCGACTCCTGACATGGAGGCGAATTTGTGGAGCTATAGTTTGTTATAGTACAGGTGCTTGGTTTACAACCACTGGGTGGTCGGTCACAGGTTCAAAGCAAAACTTCACCTACTGCGGTTTAAGCAGACAGATTTTATGACTAGTTATCATATATTAGGTGTGATTGAATTTCAGTTTTACGGGAATAAAAGTGGTTTTCACAGAGTAATATAACTGACGAAAATCTATTCCTTTGATATAATTATCACTCCATTATGGATAAGATTTTATTTTGATAAACTGTTACACAGTGTTGTACAGTGCAGTAATATTTACTGATGACCACGTTTCGAGCACAAACTATTGCCACTCATAATCATTTCAAGCCACTCACTCACACAACTTCGTTCCTTCATTTATATACATGTGTGGAATTGACTAGATATTTGAATAAAAATCAATATGGGATAATGTACATTCAGAAATAATAATACGAGTGCTATTAATCAATTACAATTAGATGGGAAATAAGATGAGTGTTTTCATAGTCATAATAAGTTACTTGTTAGAATGTTTTGATGTACGTGAATTGAAATAGAATTTTAAGATTATTTATTATCCTCCTCTGATTTGACTGATATCTTCCATATCTCTGGTATTAGCGATGTTGAGTCATTTCTATCGCATGTGTTGGGTGTAGAGACTTGATGAACAAGGATTCAGTAGTCAACCTCTCTCGCTCTCCACTTACCTAGATTACTTCTTAGAATTTTAACCCTATCCCACCCACTTGTACTTGTGTGTTAATGCGTGAAGTGTAATAGCTGACCTTTTTTCTAAATTACTTATCTTCTCAGGGTCAACTATTCTTACCTTAGCTAAATTCTTATGTTCCAACAATCTAACTACCCCCGACCTACTAGTTTGACCTATGTAGTTGATCTCACTCACAGTCATTGCAAAGTATTTTGTAAATTATATTAATTTGTTTGATTAGGTCCACCTACAGGGTCTTTTAGCCTACAGAGCTTGTCCCTGAGTGAGTATGTAGGTTTAAATGCCACCCTAATTCCTACTTTATTTAGAATCCTACGTAGTGTCTCAGATGTCCCCTCTTCATATGGTATAACCGTGGATGACTTATATTCTTTCTTATTTATGTTATCATTACTAGTTTCACAATTATCTTTGTTTTGGCCTTTACTGATCTTCCTACTGAATTTTATAGGATAGTTATTCAACACCAACGCCTCTTCTATCTGTTTTATTTCATCATTTAGGTCTTTTGTTGTGCTACTTAGTGCTACTGATCGATTTGTTAGACACTTAACTAAGCCTGCCTTAACAGTTAACGGATGAGGTGATGAATTAAAGTCTAAATATCTATTAGGTGAATGCGTTGGTTTTCTATAAACACTAGTGTGTAGTTTACCTTCTTCTATTCGTTTTATTTTACAATCTAACACCATAGCTAATTCTCCTTGTTTATTTTCCGATTCAGATGTGAATTTTATTCCCTTTACTTGTGAGTTTATATGTGTCAAGAAACTACAGATATGTTCTGCTTTTAACACTTTGAAAGTGTCATCCACGTATCTCCAGTCACGTGTATAAATGAAACAAGAAAGTTGTGTGAGTAACGTCTTGATATGATTCTGAGTGGCGATAGTTTGTGCTCGAAACGTGGTCATCAGTAAATATTACTGAACTGTACAACACTGTGTGACAGTTTATCAAAATAAAATCTTATCCATAATGGAGTTATACTCTACCACCACAGTGCTCAAGTTTTATACTTATATCAATATAATTATCACTTTCATATATGAGGAGTTATACACCGATTGACTTTTGGTGACTTTTACCATGTCAGTAAAGCAGACTGTATACAGCCATAAGAAAAAACTGAAAAGCAGCACTATTCTATCAGACTGGAGAGTTGAAGATGTGCTGCTCATTTAGGAAAAGCACGAGGATAATGATGGATGACTGAACGACTCAGTTACCATGCTCAAATCAACATCTTGACAAAGATAGTCTTAGACGCGATCGAAAAACGACGTGATCAATCAATCAATCAAAAATCTGGTGGGCATTGTGTAATCTTCTAATAATTTGCCAAACTGCAAACCATATATACATGATGAGAGATCCAGTGATACTATTCACTATGGGCAGCCTGAAGTAGGCATAGCAAGATTCGAACTAGATAACGACTCAACAGTCAATATGGCATCTCACCACTCCTGTGCATAAATATTAAGATCATACAAAGCGAGTCGGTGTTTCAATGGTAAGATAGATGACTAGCAACTAAGTACATGATCCGAGATCAATTACCCCCGACCAACGTACTCCTAAACCTCGCCTAGTTTACAAGCCCATAAGTAAGGCCAGAAAAAAAAGGAAAGTTGGGTGTGAGGCTATCAATATCCCCGCTACTGATACTGGTCAGAACTATGAAGAACTATGTTCCATTCAGAACACAAAGGAATTTAAAAGCAGTTAAATCACGATGATATAATCACACATTACTTTTTTAAAAACCTGAACACTTGAAGGAAATTATCACAGGAACAACTTCCTGGCTCTCATCGAGGAGGTCGAGCTAGGTCCAAACCCTCACACGGGAGCACTCTTGCAATTCTGTGATTCGTCGATTCAACTGCCCAACTTTCAACCACTGAGTGCGGCGGGTTCTAGCCTCCAACTTGTTCTAACGCGGTTCAATCAGCCCCTGCATAAAAGGTGGGGCTCAACGCCAATTGCATGTGAATGCAAGTGATTATTGAGCGAAATAACTAACAGGAATCTGTTATTGTAATTATCAGTTTTGTATATTTGTCCTGACATTCAACGACGTATAGGGACTACACCAATTATTTTATTTTTGTGATTTTACCATATGCTGAAAAACTGGAGTTTATCCATGTGATTGATATTCCTTCAACAGATACGTCTCATGCTCACATCGACATATTCATAGATAAGTCTTAGGCACAATCGAAATGTGACATCCCAGGACAAAAGATGTAAGTGGGTATTGAGGAATCTGACGATTTTTTCCAAACAATTCTGATTTATAAATAATCTGAATAACAACAAATGTTACAAGTAGATAACTACACACACTTTTAACATAAGAAACGAATTTAATTTGTAGATGGTGACTAGCAGTGGAATCCAGGATAACGCGCATTTCGTCCGTCCTATTTGGGACTCGTCAGCTACCTGGATGTATCTGCATTCCGCAGTGAGTAATCATGTTCCCACCGAGGCTCGAACCCAGGGCCCATAGCTTCAAACTACCAAAGCGTTATCCACAAGACCACTTGGGCCACGAGAACCACCTCTTGTGCAACGGGTCATATTAATTTAACTGAATGATATATATATCCATATAATATGTGTGTTTGTTGACAGTCTGATCTTGGTGACATGTACCCATATAAATTGTGTGTTTGTTTGACAGTCTGATATATTTTGCTATGTATATATGGATCGATATTCCATTATAATTAGCCAATCATGTTAAGACTGTCTATTGATTTGTTCATTTTGAATATTCGCTCTCACACTTGTGTTCACACACTTGTTCGGACATTCATATATATTTTCGCTCTCACACTCTTGTGGGAGATATTGATTCTCCTTGTGTTTGGAAAATAGAAGTATCATCGCAAACCTAGTGGTCTTCTGATTTCCGTCTTTCTTGCGTCAGGACTATTAAATTCTCGACCAGTACATAACAATAATTTGGCGACGAGTACATAATACTGAAGTTTTAGATTTTCCCACCGACTGATTGGCCCGAAGTGCTCGGTATCAGGTTGACAAATTAAATTCTAATTAAATGCCCAGATATCGTCAAAGCATCT